AAAACGTGCTGAGGGGAAGCAGCTCCTTCCCCTACACCCCACTAGCTAAGCTACTGCTTGGAACCAGCGTGGACCAGCAGCCCCCCTATCAGCTCCCCACTCCCTGAAGTTCCCTGTGTGGCAGCCGCCCAGCAGGCTATCGATTGCCGGGCAGTTCAGTTGTCCCTCCCTCCACTGCCATGTGCTGCTTCTCCCCTCTGCCTTGGAGCTGCACCTGGGAGCTTCCTGCTTGCTGTGCGGGGGGGGTGGGGAGGAAGGAGGGTGCTGATGTCAGAGTGTCCCCCTCCCCCGCTCCTGTACCCCATCTCCAGAGCAAGGGGGAAACATGACAGGGCTCAGGACAGAGCTGTCTCAACTTGCTGATCTTTTTAAAAAGGCAATGTACTTAGAGTGGGAGCAGTGTACTTAAAGGGGAAATGCACCTCTCCCTCTCTCACACACCGTGTGTGTGTCTCTCACACATGCACCTCCTGGCACTTTGGAAAGTGGAGGGAGTGGTGCGCTCCAGTGGGATAGCGTGGGTTCATCATCACGTTCAGTTTCGCAGGGAATATTTGAAGCCACTGCCATGTGTCTATTGTGTCTCCTCCCTCCACTGGTGCTGCCTTGTAGGGTGTGAGGCTACATTAACAACGTGTTAACCTTGAGGGCTCAGCCGAGTGCTAGTTCATCATTTAGCAGTAAGACATTCCCTGGGAAATATCCCACCCTTTGACTCCACCACCTCAGCCAAGCTTCACAATCATCATTGCTGTGTACAGTATTAACTTGTTTGTTTAAAACTTATACTGTGTGTATGTGTATATATATAAAATATAGTCTTTTGTCTAGTGAAAATAATTCCCTGGAACCTAACCCCCCCCCCCCTTTACATTAATTCTTATGGGGAAATTGGATTCGCTTAACATCATTTCACTTAAAGTCGCATTTTGCAGGAACAGAACTACAACGTTAAGCGAGACGTTACTGTCTGTTACTCACGTAACAAGTAGCTGGAGTAATTCAGTCGACGGGAGACCTCTCCCGTCAGCGTAGAGCATCTGCACTAGAAGGGCTACAGCTGTGCTGCTGTAAGTCCTGTAGTGTAGCCATAACCTTAGTGGGGGGAACTTGTATCAATTTCTTCTCCTAACAGACCCCGCCTCACAAGACCAAGAATACTGGTGAACCACTCAGGCCAAAGGGGCAACACATTTTTCTGTTTCTTTACTTCTATTTGTGCTGTTCCCATTCAAGGCTTTCATTATAAATAAATTGTTTCCCATGGCTGAAGTGGTGCATAAACTGGCTCTCTCTGCCAGTGGTGTATTAATGTGCTTAGACGGGAGGTTCTGTGGGGACTAGAACATGGGTCAGCGGCCCTGCTGCCCGGCAGCCATGAGAGAGTCATGTTTCTTATCATACAAACCCTGTGAAGACAGGAAGTCCCACCTCAGAAGACCAGACATACAGCTTTCCTCGTGGCCCCTGATTGGTCCAGGGACCCTCTTTAAGTGCAGGAGGCATTCTAGGAAGTGTTTGTGTGACAAGGTGGACTCCCCTGCCAGTTGTAGTGATGGACCTGCCTCTTGGGATCCTGACCCCGGCTCTGACTCCTGGTTCCTGACTCCAGCTCTGACCGGAGCTGTTCCTGCCCTCTGACCGCTAGACATGGCTGGCCAAGCCCCAGTCATGACAATAGGTGACCCGCTGGGCAGGGTGTATTACACATCCCACGCCTAATGCATCTAGGATGTGAGTTCTCTAGCTGCCAGCCAGGGGAGGGACCCCTTTAGCTCAGCTGTAGCAGCTCCTGGTCTTAGCTCTGAAGCTCCCACATGGAGCTAGACAGAATCCCTGACCCATGAAAATTACACATTTAAAAAAAAAAAGTCCATCCCATATTGGACAAAAAGACAAAAATGTGAAGACTTTCACAGAAAGGGTCCCCCCCAAAAAAATCCACTGGGGGGGAAGAGAATCAAAACAGAATGTTTCAGCAGCTGAGCAATGGGAAAGGCGGGGGACAGAACGCCACAGCAGCCCCCCTGGCCGGCTTTTGTCAGTTTCACTTTCTGCCTGCACCTGGGGAGCGGTCATTTGATTTTTGCGAAACGAGGATTTTGTGTTGAAAAATCATCCCCATCCAAAATTCCCAACCAGCTCCAGTCCCAGATTTAACCCCTGGTGATGAAAAAGATAAAAGTCGTTATCTCTTCGGAAAGGTCCTGTCTACCACCCCATCCCATCGCAACGCACTTAAACTGGGTCTTCCAATGGGGCCTCGGGGAGTTACTGCCATTGCTTTTCAAACTCCCTAAGGCTCCTTTGACAATCCCCGCCCCAAGCAGTGCCATCAGTGGGGTTACTCACGTGCGCTTTGCTGGAGCAAGGTGTTCCACCCTGGCCCCACTTTGGCGAAGGCAGAATAGTGGTGGGGAGGCAAAAGGTAGCCCCCTCTCCCCCCCTGGAGACCCCATTCTTTGTGCTGCTCCCTAAGAGAACAGGTTTTCTCCTCCCTGAGAATATTCGTTTGTAATACTACCGCCCCCCCCCCCCCGCTGTTAAGAACGTAAGAACGGCCCCACTGGGTCAGACCAATGGTCCATCTAGCCCAGTGTCCTGTCTTCCGACAGTGGCCAGTACCATCATTGAGTATCCGTCCCCTGTTGTCCACTCCAGCTAGCATGGGGTTGCATCCCTGATCATCTTGGCTAATAGCCATTGCTGGTCCTTTCATCTATGAATGTATCTAGTTCTTTTCTGAACCCAGTTATAATTGTGGCCTTCACAACATCCTCTGGCAACAAGTTCCACAGGTTGACTGTGTGTTGTGTGAAGAAATACTGCCTTTATATGTTATGTTATATGAGTGTTCCACCAAATACAGTGACTCCCCCTGTAGGACATTTGCTATGCTATACAGGGCCTCATGCTTAAAGAGGTAGGGGACAGCCCTCTCTGCCTGCCAAGCCACCACCTCCTCTACTGAGAAATAGCTCCCACCCCGAACCCACTGCCCTCAGTCCCTGCCCCAACAGCCTCCCCCACAGTCCCCCTGCTCCCCCCAGCCTTGCCCTACCCCAAATCTCTTCTTCAGCCTCCCCTGTCATCCCACCCCCTCAACTTCCCCCCATTCCAGTCCTGCTCACCTCTGTCTCATCCCCTACAGACCCTGTCCCTCTCCCCAACCCCCTGCCCTGCCCCACTCTACACAGCTCTCTCTACCCTGTCCCATTCATGCTCTCCTCAGCCCCTACCCTACTCCTCCCATCCCAGTCCTGTCCCATCCCCCTCAGCCCCCATTCCCAGTCCTGGCTACTGCCAGTCACTGTCTAGACCCCGCTCACTGGGGCAGACTGCAGTATAATTGCTACTCATCACAAGCAAGGGGGGGTTTGGACCTGCTGCCTCCACCTACCCTTTGGCTGCCCCCCGCAGCCCCAGTACCCTCCTTCTGGGCCTTTATCAAGGCCTGCAGCCTGGGGGGTTTCCAGGCCGGAGCTCCCCAGCTCCTCTGGGCATAGGGTGACCAGACAGCAAATGTGAAAAATCAGGACTGGGGGTGGGGGGTAATAGGAGCCTATATAAGAAAAAGACCCAAAAAAGTGGGACTGTCCCTATAAAATTGGGACATCTGGTCGCCCTATCCTCTGGCCTTCCCCCAGCCCTGCTCCACTTTAAGTACCTTGCTTAGCTCCCAGCAGCCAGGCCCTTCCCTCTCTGCAACTAGAGAGAGACTGTGTCTGGCTTCTGGCCCCAGCCCTCTTATAAGGGCCAGCTCGGCCCTCGTTAAACCAGCCACAGCTGTGGTCAGTGACCCACTCAGCTTCCCCAGCTGTTCTTAATCCCTCTTCCCCTGCTGCAGCCCTCTGCAGGGTTCCTTCCACCCTCCCAGGGCCTGAACGGGGGGATCACCTCGCTACAATGGGTCCCTACAAAAACGAATTCCCCTGCTGATACTCACACCTTCTTGTCAACTCTTTGAAATGGGGCATCCTGATTACACTGGCCTCATTAGCACGACAAACGGGTGATTTTTTTCTCCCTTGGCGAGGGAGGGGGTGGGGGAACCTCCCCCCCCCCACATCAGCCCCCACCTCCCTCCCTAGGCTCTCTGCACAGCAATCTCTCGCTCGCTCGCTCTCTGGGCTCTCTGCACAGCAATCTCTCG